ATGTGTGTGTGTGTGAAATTGGTTATGGTTTTTCTATACGATTGTACTCGATTTTGGAATCTTCCTGGCGTCGGAAAAAAACGCGAGATAAATTTACAGTCTTATATATTTACATATATATAAATACACACAGACACACGCACACGCACGCACACACACACACACATATATATATATATATATATGTATATATATGTATTATATAGACACACACACATATATATATATATGTATATATATATATATATATATATATGTATTTATATTTATGTTGTGTGTGCCTCTTAGTCTTGTTATCTTAGTCGTACACTACAGTTTGTTATAAGTTCACATACAGGGTATAATAATATTGTTGTAATGTATGCCACTTCCTGTGCCATACACTTTCTATGTATATTAATATTTTTGAACATGTGAATTGTACCACATGAGATATGTATATTATAGGCTTGTCATCTCATTTGCAATCCGTGATGCTGTCTTCGTTTACGCAGCGCAAGGAGAATGCCATGCTGAAGTCCCTTCTGGTCGATGAGAATGGTACTCAGCACGACAAAGGCAATGCCACTGGTGACGTTCAAAACGCCGGTACGGCTTACACCGATGGTATAAATAATACGTCCAACAATGTGACTAAAGATGCGAAGAGCTCTGCTCACAATACTGCTCGTGCTTCTGTTTCTAAGCCTGGCACGTGGGGTGTGGGGAACACGGCAGAACAGATACAGGGTCAGGCGAAGGCACCGAACACGACAGGAAATGTGACGGGAAATGCCACACAAACACAAGCGGGTCTGACACCAGGTTTGCAATCGCTCATACAACCACAGCCACAACCACAAATATCACAAACACAGACACAAACACCACCGCCAGCATCAGCACCTAAAGCGCAAGGCATGGTACAGTCTCAGGCACAACAGGCTATGACACAACCCCAAACACAGTCTCAAACACTGCCGTCGCAAAGCACGGGGCATGACAGAACACCGGCGCAAACTAAGATACAGGCACGACCGCAGAGTAAGGCTCAGACTGTGCAAAACAAACCCGCACAGGCACAGATCAACCCCTCGGGCCAACCACAAGCTAGTGGTAAAACACAGGCAGCTGGTAAAGCACAGCCAGTGCAGAACAAGCCTTCGGCGCAGAATAATCCACAGGGACAACCGACACAACAGACTCCGAATAAGGCATCGGCGCAGAATAAATCACTGGCGCAGGCACAGAATAAAACACAGGTACAGAATAAATCACAAGCACAAATACAAGCACAGACACAAGCTATGCCGTCGCAGACACAGGCACAAACGGGTGCGGCGCCAACTGCCTCAGCGCCCGCGGAGAGGTTTTTCCCCGAGATCCCAAAGAAGCCAAAGGGGGCGAATGGCTAGTTATGTGAACTGGAGAGTATCTTAGTAATTAACCAAATAAAGTATATAAAATCTTACATCGCAGACGTTACGATCCCCCTTTACATGCGCGCAACAGAATCTAAACAATATAATGAGAGCGAGTAAATGAGTGATACAATTGCACCGAAGCTATATATTGTGATCGACTGAGCAGAGCCCGAGGGTTAAGGGTTTTGGTCTGGCCTACCAAGACCTAGGCCAGGATTTGGGCTGACCAGACCATTTATCAATTTTGTGTCATCAATAGTTATGTATGTGTTCCCACAAGAATGACATATTACATGACACGGTTATACACGCTACAACACTTGTTTTATTACCTGTTTATGGACCGATAATGAATTGTAGTGTACGTCTAGATATATTCTCAAGAAAAC